TCCTCCCCCTGCGCAGCGAAATGTGACCCCTCTTGTCATGCGCGTCTTCCCTCGCCATGTGCATGCGCGCGCTGCGCTGACCGATCAGCAGCGTGATATCCTCACCTTGCACAGCCGCAGGACACACTCGCTCAAGTCGCCGGATAGGGTCTTGCAGTCTACCATCTTCGCTCATTTTCCTGAGCGTGACCTGAGCCACTCTCCGATGCGAGTCTCGAGCTACTACCCCCTCAAGGCCTTCCCGCACCGCTATGCTCAGATGCTCGACTGCTATCTCCATGGCATGCCGATCTGCCAGTGTCCGACGGAATGTGATGGATGTCAGCGCGAGCTCGATCCCTCCGTTGCTGCACATCATCTCCAGACCTGCAAACGCCGATCCTCCAAGCTTCCCACGGCGCATGACAACCTTACTCGTACGATTCGGTCGATGCTGAACGAAGCTGGTCTTCAGAGCGTCATCGATACAGTCGGGGATCCTCGTTCTCGACGGCAGGTACCCTCCCATCCTCATGGCCGCAAGATGAAGGGCGATATCCACATCCCTGGAATCCGCGATCGAGGGTCCGAGCAGTACGAGGGCTTGATGGCGGACGTGACGTTGGTCCACCCTTACATTGGTAGCTCTGCCGACCTGACCAAGTGGGGGGAGGTCAACCTCGACGCCCTCCATGTTGCAGCGTCTGAGAAGATTCGCAAACATCGCGCTGCATATGCCATGACTACTCCTCCTCGAGCGTTCATCCCTCTTGCCATCTCGACGGACGGTACCCTGCATCCTGACACCCTCCGCTTCATCTGGTATCTTGCGGACATCATTGCTCAGCGCTCGATGCCTCTTGAGGATGCGGCGTTTGGTCGGCACTTCGTGCCTGATGACGGACCTGCTGCTGAGGTCTTGGCTCGCAAACGCGCCGCCACCTATCAGCGCCTCACCATGCAGCTGACGCTGGAGGCGCTCTTGTCTGGTGCGAGGCGCATGACGCCCTTGCGGGCGCAAGCACTTCTCGAGCCAGAGGACAGCTCCTCCTCGGACTTTGTCGAGTCGCCCGAGGGGGAGTCTTCGCCGGAGGTCTCCGACTCCGATGGGGGAAACCCTTCGAGTGGCCCCGACGATCGGCGCGGAGCTGGCGAAGCGTCTCCGTCCCTCACTGTGACGTCGGGTGCCTCCGGAGAGCTCGACACCACTGGGGTGCTTGCTGCTGGTCCGAGCTCGCCTGCTTCCTCCCCGGCATCGGTCGCCGGGTCACGCCGGTCCTTGGGCATTGCCGCGGCGTCGCCGCCGTCACGGGCGGCTACCACTGACTTGGCTACCGCTGACTCGGAGGCTAGCGAGGAGGACTACCTCGAGCGGTACCGTGTTCATGTGTCCAGCCTCCCTCCGTCCGCTGCCCCAGGCGGACCCCCCGGGCAACGCCGGCTCCTTGCGTCACGGCGGCTAACACTGACTTGGCTACCGCTGACTCGGAGGCTAGCGAGGAGGACTACCTCGAGCGGTACCGTGTTCCTGTGTCCAGCCTCCCTCCGTCCGCTGCCCCAGGCGGACCCCCGGGCAACGCCGGCTCCTTGTCGGCGGCTGCCCTTTCTCCGTCCGCGGCCGCCCGCTTTGTGGCGGCAGCGGACGTCTCGACTGACAGTGGTCAGTCGGCTGCCTCCGGGTATCGCGTCTAAGGGATGTTATTCCTCCTGCGTGCTCCTGCTGCTTGTTGCTTGATTGCTTGACCCTTAGGCTGCTTGTCTGCGCGGCTTCTCGCTTGGGCTGGCGATGCCGCGTCTGGGTGCCAGCAGTGCTGGTTCTTTTCGGGCTTGTGTTTTGTGTGTGTTTGTGCAGCTTCTCGCTGTGGACTGTGTACCTGCCGGTTCAGCTTGTTCCTGCCTTGTTTTGCTTGAGGCACTTTTTCCCTTCTGCCAGTAAATCCTATATCCTATGACTACGACTCCTCCTCGAGCGTTCATCCCTCTTGCCATCTCGACGGACGGTACCCTGCATCCTGACACCCTCCGCTTCATCTGGTATCTGGCGGACATCATTGCTCAGCGCTCAATGCCTCTTGAGGATGCGGCGTTTGGTCGGCACTTCGTGCCTGATGACGGACCTGCTGCTGAGGTCTTGGCTCGCAAACGCGCCGCCACCTATCAGCGCCTCACCATGCAGCTTACGCTGGAAGCGCTCTTGTCTGGTGCGAGGCGCATGACGCCCTTGCGGGCGCAAGCACTTCTCGAGCCAGAGGACAGCTCCTCCTCGGACTTTGTCGAGTCGCCCGAGGGGGAGTCTTCGCCGGAGGTCTCCGACTCCGATGGGGGAAACACGTCGAGTGGCGCCGACGATCGGCGCGGAGCTGGCGAGGCGTCTCCGTCCCTCACTGTGACGTCGGGTGCCTCCGGAGAGCTCGACACCACTGGGGTGCTTGCTGCTGGTCCGAGCTCGCCTGCTTCCTCCCCGGCATCGGTCGGGTCACGCCGGTCCTTGGGCATTGCCGCGGCGTCGCCGCCGTCACGGGCGGCTACCACTGACTTGGCTACCGCTGACTCGGAGGCTAGCGAGGAGGACTACCTCGAGCGGTACCGTGTTCATGTGTCCAGCCTCCCTCCGTCCGCTGCCCCAGGCGGACACCCGGGCAGCGCCGGCTCCTTGTCGGCGGCTGCCCTTTCTCCGTCCGCGGCCGCCCGCTTTGTGGCGGCAGCGGACGTCTCGACTGACAGTGGTCAGTCGGCTGCCTCCGGGTATCGCGTGTAAGGGATTTTATTCCTCCTGCATGCTCCTGCTGCTTGTTGCTTGATTGCTTGACCCTTAGGCTGCTTGTCTGCGCGGCTTCGCGCTTGGGCTGGCGCTGCCGCGTCTGGGTGCCAGCAGTGCTGGTTGTTTTCGGGCTTGTGTTTTGTGTGTGATTGTGCAGCTTCTCGCTGTGGACTGTGTGCCTGGAGGTTCAGCTTGTTCCTGCTTTGTTTTGCTTGAGGCACTTTTTATCTTCTGCCAGTAAATCCTATATCCTATATCTTCCCATGGGTTTTTGCAGCAGGCAGATAGCGCTTGAAAAGAGCTTTCCATTCACCCTTCAAGAAACGCCCTCCGCTTCATCTGGTATCTCGCGGACATCATTGCTCAGCGCTCGATGCCTCTTGAGGATGCGGCGTTTGGTCGGCACTTCGTGCCTGATGACGGCCCTGCTGCTGAGGTCTTGGCTCGCAAACGCGCCGCCACCTATCAGCGCCTCACCATGCAGCTTACGCTGGAAGCGCTCTTGTCTGGTGCGAGGCGCATGACGCCCTTGCGGGCGCAAGCACTTCTCGAGCCAGAGGACAGCTCCTCCTCGGACTTTGTCGAGTCGCCCGAGGAGTCTTCGCCGGAGGTCTCCGACTCCGATGGGGGACACCCTTCGAGTGGCGCCGACGATCGGCGCGGAGCTGGCGAGGCGTCTCCGTCCCTCACTGTGACGTCGGGTGCCTCCGGAGAGCTCGACACCCCTGGGGTGCTTGCTGCTGGTCCGAGCTCGCCTGCTTCCTCCCCGGCATCGGTCGGGTCACGCCGGTCCTTGGGCATTGCCGCGGCGTCGCCGCCGTCACGGGCGGCTAACACTGACTTGGCTACCGCTGACTCGGAGGCTAGCGAGGAGGACTACCTCGAGCGGTACCGTGTTCCTGTGTCCAGCCTCCCTCCGTCCGCTGCCCCAGGCGGACCCCCGGGCAACGCCGGCTCCTTGTCGGCGGCTGCCCTTTCTCCGTCCGCGGCCGCCCGCTTTGTGGCGGCAGCGGACGTCTCGACTGACAGTGGTCAGTCGGCTGCCTCCGGGTATCGCGTCTAAGGGATGTTATTCCTCCTGCGTGCTCCTGCTGCTTGTTGCTTGATTGCTTGACCCTTAGGCTGCTTGTCTGCGCGGCTTCTCGCTTGGGCTGGCGATGCCGCGTCTGGGTGCCAGCAGTGCTGGTTCTTTTCGGGCTTGTGTTTTGTGTGTGTTTGTGCAGCTTCTCGCTGTGGACTGTGTACCTGCCGGTTCAGCTTGTTCCTGCCTTGTTTTGCTTGAGGCACTTTTTCCCTTCTGCCAGTAAATCCTATATCCTATGACTACGACTCCTCCTCGAGCGTTAGCTTTATATTAATGGCACCCCAGCCTGTACAGCTTGA